CCAAAATAGGACATTTGATTTTATACCAGGGATGTTTTGGCCTGCATGCTGGGGTGCCTGACATCTTATATTTCATGCTTTTCAAATTCACCAAAGATACATAATGTGAATGTAGTGAATGCATTCTACATGATCCTGCAGCATATTTTCCCCTAAAGTACTGAGTTGTAGAGATATGACATTAACTGTATTGGTTGCCAGGCCATATCTCACATCACTCAGAGTGATAATGGTTGTTACAACAGGGACTCTTTCAATATGCTTTTCCCGGTTTAAATGTGATTGGGTCATATGATATTGAGTTATATGATTTAGCAGGGTGTCAGATAACTTATCCTCATTTATTGTAATCATACAATCACAGAGCAAAAACCATTAACTACATTCTCTGTAGATGAAAGTCAATTGCCAGTCATTGAAATACAAAATTCTTACATCAAACTTTTCACTGAGATAATGAATGTTTAAACAAAAAACTATGATAGAAACTTAAAAAAATATTTCCTAACTTGACACCCTGGTATCATTACTGTACAGATCATTGTCTGATATAATCAGAAGCAACTATAAAGGTGTTTTATTTAGTTTCAATTAATTTAAATTTTCTTGTTGTAGCTGCTGAAAGGGAAGAAATGACACAACAAATGAAATATTTTGTTGTACAAATGGGGATACTAACAAACCTAGCACACACCAGAATTGATCTCTGACAGGAGCTCAATTCTCACTTAGATTCTCGTAGCCATGGCTTCGAAAGTGATCAGTGAAAACGGCAAGTCAGCAAAACTGAAAAATATGTGAAATTACGCACAAGAGCGGAAACATTTACAGCTCAATCATGGAAAGCAATGAGGATCTAATATTAGAAACACAAACATGACTAATGCTTAAATACCTGCAATAGAAGTGGTTAACATGACAAGGCTAGCAGTGTTGATGATATATATGATGGTGACTGCAACAGCAGAGAAAATATACAATATTGGCACAAGAATATATTCCTAAGGTAAAAATACTATAATCTCCATTAAACTAGCATATGTAAAAAATATTATTTCCAATAAATTTGACATTTTGATCAGTTAGTATATCTCACATATTGCATTTCTGCTAACTGTTCTCAATGTTGTTTGGAATGAAAATTTAGAACTTGTATCTTTCATGCACCTGGCCTCGTAATATCTCACCCAAACACAACCCATTCATAAATGACCATCCAAGAAGCATGTCACTCTCTTGGCAAGCCGGATGCTATCCCCAAATCTCTTCTGAACATAAAACTGGCTTGAAATATGAGGTTGGTTCAGCTAAGTGTGCATAGAACTTATCCCACAGCTCAGATATGGGCACAAAGTTCCAGACAATTAGAACCATGTGACATACACAAGGAGGCTGACATTGAATGTGCTCAATCTCCCCAAAGGTCATCTAAGAGCCCTTGAACCAAATTATATCTATGGTAGCTTGAATATTCGGCAGTGAACATAGAAGTGGAAAGGTCTGGACATTATCTGCACTGCTCAGTTACAGTTGCTCACCTTTAAATGAAATGAAGCAAGGCAACACAATTAAACAGTTGTGTATTAAGTACCTGCATTAACCGGAGTTTTGACAGACTGGCTGTCAAGTGTCATACTCCAGGGCCTATGGTATTGAAGGGTTATGGTCTCTGCTGGGCCTAAACCAAAGAGCCAAACAGTTTCAGACCTTGGAAATTGTAGTCCAACACACATCTTAAGTATTAGGACAATCTCCAACAGCAACCTTGCATGGTGGCTGAAGGGATGTAGTTGGTACATGAAGCCATGGTGGATGCTAGAGCTCTCCAGAACTCATCCAGAAAGAGAGTGTGGTTTTGAAGACCCCTGTGGTAATTGCTGTGAGCATGATATATATGATGGTGACTGCAATAGCAGAGAAAAAATACAATATTGATACACACTAACAGTCTCTTCTGTGTGCTGCTCCAGTTCTGAGTAGCCTAATACTTTTGTCATGTTATCCCTCTCAAATTCAACCTAGTTCTCATCCAGTGCATGAATAACTTGACAGGCTCAGTCATCAAAAACTGTACTATCACATTCAGATTAAGATCTGTGGTATGAACTTCTTCAACTGATCAACTACCTTTGAGGATCTTCGCAGATATTGGATAGTGAATGGAGTGTCCACTCCATGGGCAACAGAAGGTCAGAGACTGAGATGAAGACTGCACTGATAGCCGCTGGAATGACGTCCTGGTGTTGTGCTCCTAACTGAATGGTTGCAGAAGACAGAAGCAGGGACAGAATTGTAATTCGTGAGAACTTGAATTGATAATAGGAGTCCTAATATCTCCAGCCACTACGAGAGGGTAAGGGATCTTTTTCTGGATTTTGGCCAGCCTGACATGTGTGACAAAGATCCTGCCTTGACACAGTCTCAAAATCCTCCGATGAACTGGAGTAATGATCATGTCTGTGTCAGCTGGTTGCATAGTACTGTTCGACATGCATAGGCTTGAAGGCAGTCGTCAATGTTAGCTTTGAAGACAATCCCCCCAGCAATGCTCCAAATGTGTTGGGACTTTACAAGCAATGAGCAGCAGGAAAAGAAACCAAGTCTTTTGTCTACTGGAGAATAATGACAATAATAATCCCAGTTGCATCAACCCAAAGTGGGGTTAATTGTGAGGAGTCTTAAGATCTCCAGCCACTATCCGGGAGTGAGAGGGATCTTCTGTATCTTGTCCTACATGACAGGTATGACAAAGATCCCATCTTAGCATGAGTCTAAGACTCCTCGATGAATTGGAGATAAGTAACGGGGACATAAGTAATGATCATGTCAGTGTCAGCTTGTTGCATATTCTTGTCAATGTTAGCTTTGAAGACAATCACCGTGTGATAGGTGTTGTTCTGTGGTCCAAAGTATTGGGACTCGAGAAGTGGGGTTAACTGGCACAGAGGCTCGACTGTGGAGCTGAATCATCCAATCATCCGCCTCTATTTGATCATATTGCTGGAGTTAACTTTCCTCATGACTGTGGCTGACGTCTTGTTAACAACTGTCCTTTAAAACCATGAAAGGAATTCTTCCAGGACTGATTGGCCAAAGGGTTGTTGAATTTGAACAATAACTCTGCCTCTCAACATTTTGCATTACTGCAACATAAAAGCTTATCGCTTCTGAGAAAGCTTTAGGTAGCCTCAATTTGTCAGCTATCCAAGATTGTATGATGGATTGCTCCACATCAACTGACTCTTTAGTTGACACTGCTGATGTAGAAGCACAGAATTCTGAGGATGGCTGAGGTAACAGACACTGTGGTGATGTAGGACAAGGATCTAAATAAGCTGAGGTCAGTACTGGACATGGAGCTTGAGATGATTAATCATTATCTGTGTAGGAGTGTCTCTTTTCAGTTTGCCATGGGTGTAGGAGTGTCTCTTTTCAGTTTGCCCTGGGATTTTTCCTCCCACCATCATTGGTTGTCAATCCAAAAGTTATTGTAGCTTTCCCATCCTTATGAGGTAGCCATACACAGCTGGGTGGACTGGGACACATAGTCACATTACTTTGTGTAAGTTTAATGCACGTTGATGTACCCGCAACTAGGTGTTTGCACATATTCATGTGGCCACCTTCTGGTTATTTACCAACGGATTCGAGGGTTCTTTTAAATACACAGGATTGTGTACTGTACAACACTGAAAGAGTCTGCACACAAAGTTGGCTTCAAGGTTTTTACACCCAGTCACAGGTGGGCTCAATCCTGGCACCTCAAGCTCGCTGGATTACTAGCCTGGAGCCTTAACACAGCTTGCCCACAATGCTCCCCACGCTATCAATCCATGTATTTTAAAGACAGCACTGACAGTAGAACGTTTCTGATTGGCAACGTATTGGTTATCTTGGGAGTAGAGAAAGATAGGGACGGTGATTCCATCTGACTGATACTAGTATTCAAACTTTCGTTGCTGACATTTCTGGAGATACACTTGGAAGAATTGTCAAATTCTTTCTCTGAAAAATATGTGTCCTCCGTATCGATAAGTAAAAGAATGTTTGGATTGGGACAAGCCCATTTGCCTGAGTGTGCTGTATGCTTGAAGGTTTGGATTGGGTTGTGTTTAGGTGAGGAGATATGAGTCCAGGAACATAGAGGGTACTCATTCTAAATTTCTTTTCTGAGCAGCATCAAGAACACATAACAGAGATGCAATATATGACATAGAATAACTCTAAAAATAAAACTTTATAAACATTAACAACTTGATCACCCCATTATATCAAGATTGTTAAGCAACTTCTGTACTATGTTGTCAAAGAACCTAAATATATTGAAACATATGTTTTTTTGTAAATTAGACTTAAGAGATATGTCAGTGATGAAGGAAGCAACATAGGTGTTACCTACACAGGCAGGAAGGTTGGGTTCTGTTAGAAGCAGGGTAAACATATATATACATGGCAGTTTGTTGGAACCTTGATCTTGACGGAAGTAATTACTAAACTTTGCAACCGAAGTTATGATAGCTGCCTGATGTCACTGACACATTTCTCCATCATGGCTTTAACTTTAAAAAAAACCTGCTTTAATTTATAAATATCTCACAAATGGGTTACGTTTTTGAGGGAGATCTAAAGAACAGTGTGCATCAAGTTAGATAAAATATTATAATTACACAGAGTAGAGATTAGATATTCACCCAGAAGTTCTAGTCACGTGCAGATAGCCAACAATCACAAAATAGGAGTCCGAGGTGTGCATGTATTGCATGTGCAAGTTTGAAGCAAGGTGGTATTTCACCTTTTCGAATAATAATGAATATATTAATCAACCTGTTGCAGCATATCTTTGTTTAGGTCTCCTCAAACAGCTTTTCTTAAATGGAATGGATATTTCTGATAAAATACAAACTCACCGTGTGACCCTCTCCCCAACCCATCTTAACAAGGTGATACACAAAGCCCAAACCCGAGACACAGATACCACAATCACAAAACGGACGACTTACCTGTCGAATAACTGGTTCCATCGTGCGAGCAACGCGACCAATAGAAGAAGTGTCCACCGGCACTGTCCTCCATGCCAGAATCTAGAAGCAGATATCAGTCATATAACAGAAGCAAAACATATAGAAATATTAATTTCATTTTACACCTCACAAGTGTAAATGTACATTTCAGTCCTTGTAAATTGTATTGAATAGCTCTAGGGCATGTCAGTGCTGATTGGTCAAATGAAGGGATATAAAGTGCAACTTTGACTAAACACAAGAAATGTTGTTGTTTATGAGTTTGTATTTGTTTCTCATTGTTTGGGATGGTATCAATGGACTGAGTGAGTTAACAGTAATTCAGTATTAAGATTACCAACACAAGTACAGGGCCTAGATTTTTGAAGCTCTTAGAGCTAAGATAGTCGTAAGTTAATGTTAATTTATGGCACTTACGACCATCTTAACACAAGGAGAGGTCTAGGTTTCTAAGACATTTTCTTTGAGATAATTACAATCAGATTTATGTATTTTTCCAAAGGAAGTGATTGAACAATATATTCAAAATTGTTTTGCCATTATGTCCAGCTATTTACTTCCTGACAAAGCCATGTATGTCCCTCCTGGACTGAGATCCCTACCATCTCCTTCAAGCAGATTGCCCAGCGGGCACACAACGTTGAATTTTGGTTGTTTGGTTGATCAACCTTTCATAAACGTTGATTCAACGTTTATCATGCGACCAATGAAAGTTAGTCAAGATTCGTTTAGTTGTCAACGTTGTTTCAACGTAAGGAACCAACAAAATGTCAACTAATTGTTTCCTTTGCAAATTTGATACATAATTCATATTGGTAATAGGTATCCAACTTAGCAACTATCATTTTGAACATTAATTTCATAAAAGATCAAGATCGAAGCTAGTGACACATATAATCTTATGTATTGTTTGATCGTGCATCGATCAACGGACGGAAATATTACGTAAATCGCAATTGAAAATGAAAACATCAATGATTTTAGGTATAAAGTCATCAGTTATCCTAATTGCATTACAATTGATATTTTCCCTACAAAACTGTCAAAATTGTATAATTCCCGACAATAATTTGCTTTCAAACACATGCCAGATCGCTTCGTTTGGCCATATCCGGACATGCGATTAATTATTATCGGCAGCGCATAAAGGCAGCTGATCGTTGTCAGTTTACTTTGGCGAAGTTCAACGCTAATATCGTTCTATTTTCAACATCTTCACGGCATGCTGGTGTTTATTTGGTAAGTATGTCCTTCATGTATAATGGCGTAGGAATGTTGTTTAAATCTAGCAGGTCAATGTAGCAAGAAACTCCAATTAGGGCTCATGTTTTATCTCACAAGGGTACCGGTATGTCACGATACATGTTTCTCAAAATTTAGTGGAAGCCCGTGTTTTCCATGAACTTGTTTTGTTATTTTTCAATATATTTGCATGCATATATTTGGCATTTTATTATATAATCGAATAAGATTTCCTTTCGTACCCATCACCTGATTTGAATTTTGCAAATATACATTTTCAAATAATCAATGAAGTACATCAATATAAGGGACCATTCATATTTATATGGCTGCGCACCGCCATATAGCTGGAATATTGCTGAGTGCGCGTGTAAAACTAAACTCACTATATGGCTGTGGGTGGGGGTGATGATTGTAAGGGGGTCACCCATTTTGTTCAGGGAGCTAAGGGGTCAAGCATTTTGTACACACGCATCTATGTTTAATATGATGCTTAGAAATTATGGGAAGGGGAGTCATAGATATTGTACATGACATGCAGGGTGGGAAGCCACTTATTTTCGTACATACACTTTCATGGGGAGGGGGAGGGGAGGGTAATTCACATTGTACATGCTTCTTCATAAACATCATCATCACCCCAAAGCCATACATTATGAACGGTCCCTAAGGGCAGCTATCCAAAATGAATAGAATTTATCAACATTTAATATTGCATCACATTATTATGAACATATACATTTTCAAATAATCAATGAAGTACATCAATATAAGGGGGCTGCTTCAGACCGCCATATAGCTGGAATATTGCTGAGTCGCATGAAAACTAAACTCACTATATGGCTGTGGGTGGGGGTGATGATTGTAAGGGGTTCACCCATTTTGTTCAGGGAGCTAAGGGGTCAGCATTTTTGTACACACGCACTATGTTTAATATGATGCTTAGAAATTATGGAAGGGAGAGGGCGTCATAGATATTGTACATGACATGCAGGGTGGAAATCACTTATTTCGCACATACACTTATGGGGAGGGAGGGGAGGGTAATTCACATTGTACATGCTTCTTCATAAACATCATCATCACCCCAAAGCCATACATTATGAACGGTCCCTAAGGGCAGCTATCCAAAATCGAATAGAATTTATCAACATTTAATATTGCATCACATTATTATGAACATTTGTTCGTTTGAATAAGTCTATCAGTAAATTATGCATTGAGCACGCTCTGAACCCTGTCAACATATGCATATTATTTGGGGAGGGGATGGGGGTGGAGAATGGTGAAAGGAAATCTTTCTCAGATCATGCAATTGAAAATTCACATCAAAATGTCTTGTGCAAGTCGTTGTTAAGGATGAAATTGCATATAATTTATTTGAACTTTTATTTATTTACAAAATGTGTAACTTCACTAATGATTCTTTGATGGGACAATTAACAAAACTGCACTCACAGACTTTCATTCTTACACTTGTTTGGAAGGGATGTGATGATTCATGTTTCTTAAAGGTTAAAGGTTAAAATGTTACATAGTAAGGAACATTTAATTATGAAAAAGAAATAATTTAGTAAGGAACATTTAATTTCTCCATAAAAGGAGATGTTTAGGTTTAATGAGCACTCCCTTGCTTTGGCCATATTGTTTTTCACATTGACAAAAGAGCTGGATGCTGAGAAAGCTTGCTTGGCCAGAGGACAGAAGTCATAAATGTATTGAGATGTATAGATGTTGATTGCTGGGAGACACACTCTTCAGGTATTTGGTCAGCTGTAGAATTTGAATATGATGTTTCTTTATTATTGTCAAAGTGTAGGTTTTTCATTATTTTGCATTTAAATGTGTGTGCAGTGAAACACACTGAGATTTGGAAGAGTCCATTATTTAGAGTACAGGTATTGTTAGATATCAGCATTTTATGTACATGTTCCCTTGTCAAGATCATCTATCGAAAGTATATTAGAGAGAAGTTGTATATTTGTAGTGTTTTAAATCAGAGTTATTTTCAGTGTATGACCTACATTTCAATATGTTTTGGCCACCTGTCACCCCTTTGGTCAAATAGAGTAGGACTTCCATTTCTTGGAATTGAGAGTCAGAGATACACTGTTTCCAAGAATTTGCGTGTGCCAGCGATGTTTGTTTACGAGTACATTTAAGTCTTTTTGAGTGTAGATTGGAGTTGTAAGAGATGTTATTCAGTGTCTTATTATTCAGGGTATGATAGATTATTTCTGGCAGTGTAGAGTTTAATCTCATTATTTTATTGTTCATAATTCATTATATGAGAGATTTTCTAAGCGTTCCTATAAGAGATTAAGTGTAAACATTTCTGAATTATGAAGAAGTTATTTATCTGAGTTTTATGAGTGTACAAATGACAAAGAGAGACAGAGTAGATAATAGGGAATATATTGTATACTTATGAGAGCTCATTATTGTTTTCAGAACTCCATGATCCATACTTCCTTGTGTTTGGGAATAAATGGTGTTGGAAGACCTCCCACTATAGACTTGTTCTTTGACCTGTGAACCACCACCCATTTTGTTTTCTTATCATTTAATGTAAAATGGCTTTTGTTACAATTTATGACTCCTGTTAGCAAAATTGCTACATCAGTACAACTCCTATTTAATTTGAAATAATCGTTTCCGAGAATCTCTAAAGAAAATTAAATCTGACAGAATAACAACAATCTTCCATTGTTTTGCAGGACAATGTCAAACAATTTGATGTCAAGAATGAATGTTGATGGGCAAAACGGCAAGTTTTCTTTTAAGAATACAAGGTTGTATTCAATCATCTCTGGTAATTTAATTACCAAATGCAGCATTTTCATCATGACCATAGCAAATAATATATGACAGTAAAGCATCATCTAATTCATCCTAATTCATAGTCTAATTGAATAATCAACTTGCAATTGAGGATTTTCTTTGAAAATGTTTAAGAAAACTTCCATTCCTTTAGTTGAAAATATAAATTGTTTACATTTTTCGTCACATTTTGTATTGATGCTGTTCATATGTTCACTTGGCAAGTTACAGCAGTGAAATGAACCTTTCAAGTGATTGATTAAACAAATACTTGAATCATTTAAGACAATATATCTTCCATATAAAATTATTCATGTATTTAAATATAAAATTTCAGAATGTGTCCTATCTCATGGGAATGAGATGGGAATGCATCCAAGCAAATTTCAAGAAAGAGTTAGGAACGTTTCTGAAGTATCCACCTGACCGCCAGGCAGGGAGTGGCAGAAAGAAGAGAAGCTGTATGTCAGTTTAATGCTATATGCAGATGATATTGTGTTATTATCACAGCAGAGATCACCTACAGACTATGTCATGTGTGATGTTTTACATTATGCTTTAAACCACGTTTCTCCGTGTGAGTTTGTGTTCATAAAGATTTCATAAAAAGTGACTGGTTTTATGTGCTGTCTTCAGGTATAGTTCCTGTTCATCTTGGATCCCTTTCATGGTGAAGGTAATTGCATTGTGTTTATTCAGGTGTCTGTCTAATAGCTGAAATTCAGACAAAATGTCTTCTAGGGACAATTTCCACCTTTTCAAGATAACAATACAACAGTAAATAGTTTTTCTTAATTTGGAATACTCTTTTCTTCTTACTGGAATTATAACGTCCAACTGACATAAAACTTAAATGAACATTATATTGAATGTGGAATTTTAACCAAGTATTTTATCAGGTAAATATTTTACTGCAATTTTATGTTTGAACACTGTTTATTGCAGGTAGCTTTTTGGGTATTTTAGCTGGATGCATGAGTTTGGTGCTACTGTAGTGT